TAAGGCTCCCACAAACTTGGAATAAGCTTTCCAAAAGTCAAAGTGTAATTGACCAACCCAGATAAAAAAGCAAAACATACTGTCCCATATGGCCCCTGTCTCTATCCCAGCTTTCCACCTGCATTCTTAGGCCAACTCGTAAACAACAGCTTTGCACCTGGTCTGATGTGACTATAAAACAGGGAAGCAGTTTTCAGTAGTTCCTTCTTTAAAAATTGATCACTTTCTCTCTTGATGTTCAAATTTGGGTTCTGTAATCCAACTATCTCTACAGCAAAGATTTACATAGGAAAGGAGAGGGCCTGGAGCGACCAGAACTCAAACCACACAAGGGCTGCAGAGCCACACCTTGAACTGTCCTCTGGTGAGCTGGAGCCACCTGGATTCCATGTGTGCTACACCCTAGGGGAAGAATGCCAGGATGTCTGCGTGGCCTTCAAGGAGAACCCTGAGAAGACAGCAACAAAGGGATCCGACAGTAGTCACGTGCCACAGACATCTCTGCTATCCCTCGCATCCATGGAGGTAATAACCTTCATGCTAAAGGCTGCGGGAGAGGCAGGCCTGCCCTGGCTAAGGATCCAGACAGTGCTGCAAGGGAAGAGCTGCTAATAAAGGGAGCAGAAAGCACCTTCCCTGTAGCCTTGGGAAGCCCCTGCCGTCCGCCTTCTGCCTGGTACCCAAATTAGCTTCATCTAATCCATTGCCCTAAGCAAACTGGGCAGTGGATTGACAAAGGAAGTTCACTTCATCTATAGGCTGGATCAAGAAGGGAACTGGAGTCTCCTGACTATCCCAGCTTCCTGGAAACACTCAGCAGGAGTAATGGAATGGAACCCTGCAGCACCCCATGGGAAAAACCATGAAAACACAGTCACTGGTGCAGGATCAACCTCTGGGGCCTTCCTGCATGGAGAACATTGCCATGGTAACACACGCCATCCTTTCGAACCATCCAACCCCCAAACAGCCTGCCAGAGCCAGGCCAACAGAATCAGACATGGCAATAGTTTTAAAAATGTATGGAGAAGCTGGGCATGGTGACACATGCCTGTAGTCTCAGCTACTCAGGATGCTAAGGTGGGAAGATCACTTGAGCCCAGGGGCTTGAGTCTAGCCTGGGCAACACAGCAAGACCCATGTCTAAAACAAAAATAAAAACAAACAAAAAAAAACTACACATTTACAGAGCTACATTCTTGGATATCACCAACTCCCTTAAAACCAGCCTATTTGGGTTCTAAACAAAAAGCTAGATGGCAAGTCGTTGACAAAATCACCAAATGTCTACTTAAATACTGCTGATATTTCAAAATATTACAGCAGTGGTCCTTAGACCAGCAGCATTGGCATCACCAGAGAACTTATTAGAAATGCACATTTTCAGGTTCCACCTTAAACCTACCAAATCTGATGCTCTGGGAGTTTTAACAGGCACCCCAGATGATTCTGATGCAAGACAGATTTTGAGAATTGCTGATTAGAATGTCTCCATGATTGAAACAGGGAGGTAACTGTAGGAAAACAGGCATTGGCTCATTAAATATAGACATGCTCTGTGCTTCCTGGCCTAATATATTAATATTTTCATTTCCAATGAAGGCCAATTTTCCTAATGGTGAGAACAAAAGAATCTTATTGGGCAACATTAGTATAAACTCAAGACATCTGCCCAGAGACTTAATGTGGATTATGGATAGAAAGAGCAGGAACGCCCCGCATCCTGACATCAGATTTTTAAGTCCTCCCTGGCAAAGTTAATTAATACTTAAGCAGGGCATCCCTTGGCAGGTCCTTTCTGGCTTCCTCGGTTTCCTCAGATGGATCTGAATGCTCAGCACGAGAAGATTGCTAAGTCCCAGGCTGCAGACCTAAGGGGGGACCGGCATGTCTTACCGCGGCATTAGACAGGCTCCTGCCGGGGCGACCTCAGGGAGCTCGTGAATCAGACTGAATCTTGCCTGTCTCCCCATATGAGCCAATTAAATGGATCCCTGCCCTTGATGGTGAAGTGAAGTCCAGTTGCTAATGGATTGCAGTTCTGTCATCTCCATTAGAACTTCGAAGTCACTTGCTGGTATGGATAAGTTACATACTTATCAAGGTGGGATCACAGTTTTAGGCCACCAGGGTGCCATTTAGTGTGCCACCATCACTATATTAGTAGAGTGTGCCTTCCAGCAACGTCGAGGCCATGTTGAGAGGATGCGGCTAAATAGCGGAGATATTTCTTAACTGGGTTTCTGCTACGGTAGAAAAATCAACAAGACTGTTATTGGAGGAGAAAGTCAGCCAGTAGAGCCCACCCCAAAGGAAGCAAATCTTTGGCTACCACTTGTGTGGGAGCCCAGGACTTCAGGAGGCTGACTGCACAGGCAAATGTGAGGATGCTGCTCCATCCCATCCAGGCCATCAAAGTGGCCGAGATCAGAGACAAAAGTTACCCTGCCTATTAATTACTAGCATGCTCTTCCCAACTTTTGCAACCATGCCATTCCTCCTGCCCCCAAACCCAGCTTCAATCAATTCAGTCAGGGCTGGGTGCAATGGCTCACGCCTGTAATCCCAGCACTTTGGGAGACAGAGGTGGGAGGATCCCTTGAGCTCAAGAGTTCAAGACCAGCCTGGGCAATATGGCGACCCCCTCCCCCCACCCTCTGCCGCCAGAAGGACTCTACAAAAAACTACAAAAAACCTAGTCGGGTGTGGTGGCATTCGACTGTCGTCCCAGGTACTCAGGAAGCTGAGGTGGGAGGATCACTTGAGCCTGGGGAGGTATAGGCTGCAGTGAGTCACGACCATACCACTAAACTCCAGCCTGGGTGACACAGTGAGACCCCATCTCAAAAAAAAAAAAAAAAAAAAAAGTCAGCCAGAACCAGAGTTTTGGAAGCTTCTAGGGGGATTCCTGCAAAGTCTCATTTCAGCTCCTGGTGGGGCTGAAAAAAGAACCAAGGGGGAGGAGTCAGTCTCCTGCAAAGGGGCCCCAGAGGGAAAGGAAGGAGGTGGAGAGGAAATTAAAAACCACACTAAACTAAGAGAACAAAAAGAGAAGAAAACCAGAATGAAGACCATCACCCAAACACCCAGAATCCCTCTCTTGAGCATCCCCAAGAGAAGCTGTCATAATTTGTAAAGGGCAATCAGGTGATTGAAGAGAGGGTATTGCTTCACTGGGACAAAGGCAGTATTTTAATTTCTCTCGGTTCTGAATACTACCTACTGGGGACTGGAAACTGAAAAAAAATCCTCCAAAATAGGAATTTACCCCAGAATTTTAGGACCCAAAGTTCCATTGAGCTTCGTAGACCTGGATGGGGCAGAGGGATGTGACCACACTCTCCCCATAAATAAATAAATACATAAACAAGGCGCTGAGGACTCAATATAGCACCTGCCTCTTCTCCACCCTTGTGCACAATCTCCAACTGTTAGCGCGTAGCCGCCGCTGCCACCACCACCACCGAGTCGCACCTGCCATCTGGAACAGGCCTCACATATTCCAAGACCTCCTTTCTGCTTCGCTGAACCTCCATCTTCTTTCAAATCACGCCGGGGACCAAAACGCACACCCCAGGCCACAGAGAAAGGTGCCTGGGACCAGCCCCTCAAACGACAGCGCTACATTTGAGGATGCCATCTCCTCCAAGCAGCTCTGAGTCTTTTTTCTTTTTCTTTTGGGTTGTGTTAACTCTGGGATGTCTGGGATGGGTGTGGAGGAAGGAATGGGAAGAGAAAGGGGCACAGTGGGCCACAGTGCCCCCAGTTAGAAGGAGAGGGTCTGGGGAAAGGCAGATCCGAATGATAATGACTTGTGAGGGCTAGAGAGAGGGGCACTGTCCAGCATCCCCGGCCGGCCGGACAGGACAGGGTCTGAGCCTGGCTGCAGGACTCTGGCCTGGCGGGGACTGGGAGGGGGGCCACAGGGGGTGCTCGAAAGGTGAAGTCACAGGCCTAAGGACAACCCAGCCCCCACCCCAGGCAAGGGGCTGTCCTGCCTGGGCCTCAGTTTCCTCCTGTGTGAGGTGACACCATAGGCATAACGCTTTCGCCACCTCCTAGGAAGTATGTGGGAACCCAAATGATGCACAAACAGCACCTGCCCTAGAAGACACCCAGTAAAGAGCTCTGTCAGCTACTCTGGAGACCCGCCTCCCAGAGCACCGCAGCCTAGGACAGGGAATCGGGAGTCACCGAGGCGGGTGTCCTAGGCAAAAGGAGGTAGCCCTGAGTCAGCCAGGCCCCGCGGGCGGGTCCCTCTCGGGCCGAGGAGGCGGCCCAGGAGCGCTAACGAGCGGAGAGCCCCAGGTGCGGGCCCCACCCAGGGCCGGGGGAAGAGGTGGGGCTGGAGGGGGAGGGGAGCGGGCCGCGCTAATGACTGTTGACAGCGCGCGCTGGGGCCCGGCTGGCCGCGCGCGCCGCTGACAGCTGCTCGGGCGGGGGGCAGGGGCGGGGGCGAGGCGGCCGCACTCTCTTCACGGCGCAGGCGCGTGCGCCACGGCAGGGAGGGGCGGGGAGGGGCGGGAAGGCGCGCGCGCGTGCCCCGGCGGGGAGGGGCGGGAAGGCGCGCGCCGGGCCGGGTTCGGAGGGCCTGCTGGAGCGGCTCGCGCGGGCTCCTCGCGGGCAGGCAGGTAATGAGAGTAACCATGGCAACCCACCAGAGGAAGTGTATTCTGCAGGAGACGTTAATCCCCTCTCCCCGGAGCTGGGACAGCCTGACTTTCCATTCTCACACAGTAATTAGATACCAGCTGTCAGTGCAGGGGGGACGGCTCCGCGGCTGCAGCCCGGCTGGGGGGGGGACACGCAGGGACGGGGGCGTTAAAGACACAGGGACGCTCGGCGGCGGCGGCGGGCCGGGGCGGCTGGCCTCCCCCAGTCTCCAGCCTCCAGGCGCGCGCCCGCTCACCTGGAGACCCCGCCCGCGCGGGCCCCGCCCACCCCACGCGCACCTGCTGCGCGCGCGCCCGCCGGCCTCGCGTCCCCCTTCCGGCCCCGCCAACCCGCTCCCGGCGCACCTGCACTGCCCCGCCCCCCGAGACGCTGCCCACCTGTCCTTTGTGCAGGGCGGTACCATTAGATCTTGCCAGCTCTCCTTCAGGGAGCGCCCGCTATGTGCCAGGCGCCGTGCCAAGCCTGATCTCCCGTAATCCTCACAGACCCTCCGCGGTCAGCGCTTCTGCTGCTCCCCGCCCAGGGCGCAGCGGGGTGTGGCCGTTTGCCCAGGGTCACGCAGACTTGAACCCCCCATCCCTGTGCCCATTTAACAACCAAGATACAGCGCCTCCCACCGCGTCCACATCCACATCTGCTGTGACTCCGGGGCCTCCTAACCGTCCTGGGAGGCAAAACAGTCACACTGGTGGCTGGCGTCGCGGTGCACCTACTGTGTGCCAAGCACTCATGGCCTCAGTTCACTTTCGCAACAGCAACGAGAGATCTGTTGCCCCAGGGTGAGGAAGCGAAGGCACAGAAGAGCTGAAGCAATTTGCCCACAGTCACAAGGTACAGAGTGGCAGAGCCGGGGTTCAAATCCAGGGAGTCAGACCCCAGGATCCCAACTACTGGGCTCCATTAGTCCCACCCCTGGATTCGTGGTGGCTGAAATCCAGCCCACACCTCTTCTTCCTTTCCACAGTTCAGCCCACGCAGATTCTGTCCCAGCATCGTGAGTAGCTGCCTCTCCTAGCTATACCTGAGAAATCTAAGAAGTTTCTAGGCCTAAAGCCACTGCCACAATCTGCATCTCTTTTTTATTTATTTATTTATTTATTTTTGGGGACAGAATCTTGCTCTGTAGCCCAGAATGGAGTGCAATGGTGCGATCTCTGCTCACTGAAACCTCTGGTTCCTGGGTTCAAGCGATTCTCCTGCCACAGCCTCCCAAGTAGCTGGGATTACAGGCACACACCACCATGCCTGGCTAATTTTCGTATTTTTAGTAGAGACAGAGTTTCACTATGTTGGCCAGGCTGGTCTTGAACTCCTAGCCTCAAGTGACCCGCCTGCCTCAGCCTCCCAAAGTGCTGGGATGACAGGCGTGAGCCACCACACCTGGCCCACAACTCTCATTTCTGTCAGGCCTCTCAGAAGTTCCTGCTGTCAGTGCAGGAAGCTGCTTGGAAGTCATTCTAGGCCACTCCCTCCATTTCCCAGGTAGGGGAACCAAGACCATTCAGGTGCAAGGCTGGCCCAAGTCAGAGATGGCCTGGGAGAGCCTTTGGGGGACAGGGAGGGTTCAGTCCCCTCAGGCCTGGCTGTGCCCCCTGCCCCCCACCCACAATCAGTCCCAGGGTTGGGGGGTACACACCAAGGAGGGACAGGAAGTGTCCAAGAAGCAGAGCCGGCTCTGTGTCCCCAGTGGCGGCGGGTGTCTGGGGCAGGAGGAGGCTATCTGATCCCTTCCCCACTGCCCCGGCCATGACCTCCTCCCTCCCTCCCTCGCTCCCTCCCTCCCTCCTCCCTCATGGCTGGGGTAGCCAGCACCCTGGGCTGCAGCTGAGAACCCAGTGTTCCCCAACCCCGCCAGCATTCCAGTGGGAGGAGGGGTGGGGGGAGGCTGCGCCCAGAGCTTTAGGGACAGGGGCACCCCTGGGGCTGCTCCACCCTGGGAGGGCCAAGGCCAGGCTGCCTCCAACCTCACCGTTTCCTGCCTCCGCTCTCCCCATCTCTCAGTAGCAGAGCTGCCTAAATTTGGCTCCAGGAGGGAATGGGGGAGGCAGCGGCAGGCGGGTGCCGTCAGAGGCCAGGGCGTCGCTCCCGTCTAGCCGGCTGGCATTTTTGCTGTCTGGAGGAGGGCAGGGGGGCCCGGCAGCCCTCTCCCGGAAAGGGAGATGTTCGTACCTTCTGACATACACTGAGTAATGTGCAAACGACATGCAAACCGAGCTTCAAATCAGCATCTCAGCCAGGGAACAGCTTGAGAGCTGCTTTTGGGATGAGAGCAGAAGGACCAGAGCCCAGTGCCCAGGGGCTCCAGTGGGGGTGGGGTGGGGGGCGGCACAGAGTGTCTAGGGCTGAGCGTTGGGAGACTCAGTTTCTTGCCAGCTGTAGGGCTTTGTTCCAGTGGCTGGACCCTCTGGGTCCCAGCCCAAGGGCAGGGCCATGGCTTTCTCTGCCTGCTCCAGCAAAGCGCTGGGCACACCCTGTCACGTGGTTAAGCACGTGAGTTCTGCAGCCATCCTGCCTAGGTTTGAACCCTGGCTCTCCACAAGCCAGCTGAGTGAATTCCTCAACCGAGCACCCAGGAAAGCAGCTAGTGGAACTGGGTGTCCGTTTTAGAAGAGAGACTTCCCTTCCCTGGAAGTTGGGCGTGGGGGCATGACCTGAAAGAACCTGGGCTTTGGAATCAGATCTGGATTCCAGGCCTGGCTCAGCCAGTGAGACTCTCTGAGTCTCACTCCCTTCATTTGGGAAATGGGTTCAGGATCTCAAGGTCAGCTGTGACGTCCATGTGATGACCTTGCACATGGCGGGCACACACAGGCCTTCCCATGGTGCAGCTTCACTGCTGTCTGCATTCATGTGACTCCTAGCTCCATCCTGTCCCATCACTCCTCTTCTCTTTGCTCTTCTGTCCTGCCTTTTTCGTCTCTAGATGTAAATTTCTTGCAGTCTTTCCCTTCTGTCTCTCTACTGGTGATCTTGGAAAAGTCATTGCCTCTCAGAGTCTCAGTCTGCACATCTTCTAAATGGGAGTAAATGAGAGGTGGACAACGAGCCCTGTCTGGGGCCTGGGGCTCATCTTTACAAGACCATCCACCCATCATTCCAAAGGGCCATCAGGGGCGGGCTGTGCCCTCAACTCTATCAGGCATGGCGTGTTGGGGGCTCCACTTCTCGGTAACTCTGTTTAACCCCAGATAACTGCTCTCCTGCCCCTCGGCCAGGGCTGATATGAGCTGAATCCAGCTTCCTGCCACCCAAAAGCCACTTCCTGCCAAGCTGATACCAGAAGAACTTGTTTTCTGTGCACAGAGCAGTCCCTGGTGGGGCAGCCACCAGCTTGCCTCGGGTGTGAACATTTTTTTCCATTTGCCGGTCTGTCTGCTGGGCTGGGCAGGGGAGGTTGGGGACTCTGACCCCTTCACCTCTGCACCTGCCTGTCCTGCCCTGAGGTAGCCTCCGGGCCCACCAGCCATCCCAGGAAGGGTACCAAGTGTCCCTCTGGGCCCGGACAGACGTGTGTAGGCCATGACACACACTCACACACACACACAGTCAGTCTGACAGAGCCCCTGTGGCCACTGGGCGTTTGGGCAAGGACTCAGGGAGAAAATGTGTGACTGTCACACACAGTTAAGGTCACAGAGACACGGACATAGCCTCACACATGCAACCATCTGCAGTCCTTGGACAGTCTCACACACTGTTACACACAGTTACACGCAGGCCCACAGCCACGCTCAGAATCCCACACCACTCCACACAGCTTCACACATGTACACAGCAATCTTCCTCCCAGCGCCCCCACACCTGCCCGGCACCGACCTTCCAGATGCGTTCACTGATTCAACAAATCCTTTTTGAGGGTCTTCTCTGTGCAGGCCCTGGGCTAACCCATAATCAGAATGACTGGAACAGGAACAAATAATTAGCTGAGCTGTGCTGTTGCCTCCGTTTCCCCATCTGTGAGATGGGGATCCTAGCCCTCCCCAATGGGACTGTCATTGTTAGGAGTGAATGAGTGGAAAGCCCTTGGTCCGTGTTTGGCCCATAGAGAGTGTCGTCTAAGTAAGGCTATCCTGGTTAGCCAAAAACATCCTGTGCCCAGCTCCACGCAGAACACCTGGCACATTATCTCCCTGAGCCCTTGCCCAAGACCCCAGCAGCTGGGGCCATCGCCCCCATTCCTCAGATGAGGAAACTGAGGCTCAAAGAGGCTCACAGTCTGTAGGTTGCCCCACTGACCTCGTGTCATGCCACAGTGCTGCTCCAACCTGCCTCACCACCCCCTACACACACACACACACACACACACACACACACACACACACACACACACACTGTTCCCTCTGGCTGGAATGCCCTTCCCACTTGCATACAGCATGTCCAGCTCCTCTGAGCTGCCTACTTACACTTCGGTGAAATGGGGATACTAGCCCGTGTCAGCCCCTGTTTATATCCCTCAGGGCACTGAACTTTAAGAGCCAAGAGTAAAGACCGTTTTGTCCTGTTCTCTGGCACACAGTAGGTGCTCGACAACTATTTCAAAACTAAAGGACTAAGCAAGTGGCCTCACAGCTACTGAGGACGGAGTCTGGAACCGAACGCAGGGCACTCTGAAGCTGGAGCTCACTTCTATGCTACTGCCTTTCTCATGCTACTAGCAGGCACTGAATGTGTCAGTGAGTGAATGAATGAATGAAACCAAGATCTCAGGATCCCAGTCAAGTGCTCCCTGAGCTTCATTTCCTGGTAGCGTGGACATGAGCCAAGCTCCAGCCACCTTGGATGGTGACGGGGCTGATGGGCCGCCTGAAGCCGGCTGTCAGGAGCTCGTCTGGCCACAGCCGCCAGCAGGGGAGACCAGCTGGCGATGCAGGGTCCATCGGCCCAGGCCTGGAATCTGAGCTGCCCTCAGAGGCCCAGCTTCTCTTTGGGCCCCCACAAACTGGCCTTTGTTCCCGGGCCGGCCAAGACCCAGCAGCTTGGGCTTTCTGTCTGCCCGCGGCACCCGCGCTGAGCTGGCGGGGGTAAATGGGCCAGCCTCTGCTCTGTCCATGCCCAGGACGTCGCTTTAGGACTAAATGGAGATGTAATTTTCTATACAAATCCATGACAATTTAGATGGAGTGATTGTAATTGGCTTTTCAATGGGGGTTTTGTCCAGAGCTGGTGGCTAGAACTGGGTGGCCTGTTTGAGGCAGGCTCCATTTCAATGACAATAAAGCAATAATATTGAGGACTCTACAGTGCCCAGCACTCCTCCCAGCCCAAGTAGAGCCTCATGTTTATGGATCTGGTCCTTCCCTGGGGCTGTCTGGATAGGCGGGTGGTGGGGGCACTGAGCCCAGGAGACGGGTGCCCACATCTTTGGGCTTCGGGACACAGAGCTTCGGAACGGCTGGGGTAGGGTCCCGTGTCCACTGGCTTACCTGCGCCCTTATTCCTGACACTCTCACTAACTAGTGCCTCCTGGGGCTGGCTGCTAGTCCAGGTTTCGGGGGCACCAAGACAATGAGAGCTGCTCAGGCAGGTCAGAGGGAGAAGGCTACAATGGCCAGTACAGCATGACGTTTGAGAGCATGACGTTTGAGAGCATGACCAAGAGATGACCAATAGCCAGACAGCCTGGGCTCAAATCCTACTCCACTTCTTTAAAAAAGAATTTTTTTTGAGACAGAGTCTTGCTGTGTCACCCAGACTGGAGTACAGTGGCAGGATCATGGCTCATTGCAGCCTCGACCTCCAAAGCTTAAAAGCAATCCTCCCACCTCAGCCTCCCAAGTGGCTGGACCATAGGCATGTGCCACTATACCTGGCTAATCTTTTTATTTTTTTTGTAGAGACAGAGTCTCGTTGTGTTGCCCACACTGGTCTCGAACTACTAGGCTCAAGAGATCCTCCTGCCTCAGCCTCCCAAAGTGCTGGGATTACAGGTGTGAGCCACTGTGCCCAGGCCCTACTCCACTTCTGACTCACCTCTTGAACTTTAGCAAGTTACTTAACCGCTCCATGCCTCAGTTTCCCCAGCCATAACATGAAGCTGCAGTGAAAGTTTTTGTGAAGATGAAACACCTTAATAGTGCCTGGCATGTGGAAGGTGCTATATATAAGTCATTGCCATGATTCATTCCAAGCTCTAGCTCTGGTGTCAGGGTGACCTTGGGCACGTGACTTAACCTCTTTAAACCTCCACTGGCTTCTCTTTAAAATGGGGCTTTTAGGAGAACCGACCTCACGGGGTTGTGAGGATTTTAGAGAATGCAGGAAAGCGCTGAGCACACAGCCGTGCTCGATAAACACGAGCTCTCTTGCTGGGGTGCTCTCGCCTTGAGGAGCTCGCCAGCGAGTGATCATTACTGTGTCGAGTGTGGGGGAAAGGGAAGAGAATAAAGCTCGCGGGAAGCCACCACAGAGCTCAGCTGGCTCTGCTGTCAGGGGATGCAATAGAAGAGAACGATCCAGAGGGCCCTCGGGAACAGGGCAGGGAGTGGGGCTTCGTGAAGGAAGGCTTCACAGAGGAGGTGATATTTGGGCTGGACCTTGAAGGATGAGTGGCACTTTTGCCACCAGAAAGGGTGATACCCAGCCTGGCCAACATGGTGAAACCCCATGTCTACTAAAAATACAAAAATTAGCTGGGGCCAGGCACAGTGGCTTACGCCTGTAATCCCAGCACTTTGGGAGGCCCAGGTGGGTGGATCACTGAAGTCAGGAGTTCAAGACCAGCCTGACCAATATGGTGAAACCTTGTCTCTACTAAAAATACAAACATTAGCTGGGTGTGGTTGCAGGCACCTGTAATCTCAGCTACTAGGGAGGCTGAGGCAGGAGAATCGCTTGAACACAGGAGGAGGAGGTTGCAGTGAGCTGAGATTGTGCCATTGTACCCTAGCCTGAATGACAGAGCGAGACTCTGTCACAAAAAAAAAAAAAAAAAAAAAAAAAAAAAAGATTAGCTGGGTTTGGTGGTGCACACCTGTAGTCCCAGCTTCTTGGGAGGCTGAGGCACGAGAATCACTTGAACCCAGGAGGTGGAGGTTGCAGTGAGCCAAGATCTCGCCACTGCACTCCAGCATGGGTGACACAGTAAGACCTTGTCTCAAAAACAAACAAACGAACAAAAAAAACAAAACAGGGGCAGGCACTGTGGTTACAAAGTCAACAGGCAGACCTGGCTGCCTTCTGAACGAGTTATTTGTGCCCGTGAAAAGGGTGGTGGACAGGGAGCCTCTGCTGAAGGTGCAACGTTAAGTCACCTCTGATGGCCAACAGCCTGTGCAAAGGCCCTCAGGCAGGCAGGCGGCCGGTGTCGTGGGCAGTGGTGAGTGGGATGGTGGGGAGGCTGTGCTGAACATGCTGGAGGGACGGATGGGGTGGTGGCTGTATTCACGTGAAACAGGCAGCCATAGAGGGATTTTAAGCAGGCGGGTGACACCATCCAGAGGATATTTTTAAATGATCTCTCTGACTGCTTGTGGAAAATGGGCTATGGAGAAGAAGGGGTGAGAGAGAGGCAGGGAAGCCATGAGAAGGCAGCTGGATCACTGGGGGAGAGAAGTGGTTAGACCCAAGGTATAGCAGGGCCCAGGAGCTGCTGGAAGGATGATGGGAAGGCAGGGGGGTGGGTGGAGAAAGGAAGGGGAAAGGAGTACTAAGAGGCACGGGGCCTTTGAGGCGTGGTGAGGGGCTGTGTGCAGCTGGTACCCGAGCAGGGTTGGTGAAAGGAGATAGCAGAAGAGAGGTGAGGGCCGCCTCCCACCTCCCTACGCCAGGCTAAGGCTCTCCAGCTTTGTCCTGAAGGCAGCAGGGTGTCAACAAGGATTTTTCTCCAGGCAGGAAAAGACCATGCTGAGATTTGTGCTTTTGAAGGATCATTTTGGCTGCAGGGTAGAGGGGTGGGAGGTGGCAGGTGGGCGAGGCTGGAAGGAGAGAGGCAGGGAGGGAGGGTGGTCAGTGGGGGCTCAGAGGCCTCAGCAGGCATCCTGGCCAGCTCCCAACTCCAAGAGCAATAAACCACTTTCTTGGGGGTCTAAAACCAGCCCCAGGTCACAGAGCTTGTCAATGGCAGAGATGGATCCCACCCCGGGGTGAACCTGAAATCCAGTGCACTGTTCCCCTTTGCCATCATCAGCCTTGGTCACTAGTAAAATCCATCACAAATAGCTTTTCATCACGACTCTCAGCCAAAGAACCCGTACTATGACACCAAGAGGTGAGTACTATTATTATTCCCATTTTACAGATCAGGAAACTGAGGCTAAGTCACCTGCTAAAAGCACACAGCTGGGAATTGACAGCCAGGTTCAGATCTAGGCAGTGTGACTCCAGACCCATACCACAGGTCCTAAGCAGGAGGTCTATGGCCAAGTGGGGTCTATGGGGAACCTACAGAGGTTTATTACAATTTGAGTTTGTTGCTGATACTTAAAAGTTGGGGCTGAGCATGGTGGTGCCTGCCTGTAGTCCCAGCTACCCAGGAGGCTGAGGCAGGAGGATCACTTGAGCCCAGGAGTTTGAGGCTGCAGTGAGTTATAATAGTGCCACTGCACTCCAGCCTGGGTGACAGAGTGTGATCCTGTCTCTAAAGAATAAAAAAATTTTTTTAAATGGGACTTTTCATGAAATAAGAAAAACGTGAACTTTGGACAGGACCACTTGATGTTGACAACCCCAAGCTCCAGTCCTTGAACTTCGCCCATCTTTTGGGGCCATTCACACGTGTGCGATGTCAGGTTGGCATCTCCAGCATGGGCCTCTCCTCTGCCGCTGGACAGCCGACTGGACACATCTGAAAGCAAGTGTGTGTCTAGGGCCCCCTGGAGAGCCAGGGAGCACATCCATCCACTCATCCAACAAGCGTTTAGACCCCCTTTGCCCCACTGCCCACAGTCCTGGCCACCATCACCAAACTTCCTCCCCCAGAAGGCTTCTCCATCTCCCTTGCTCAGGCCAGACACCCTGAAGGCATCCTTGACAGCTCACTGGTTCTCACAGCCCACATCCCATCCATGGGCAAGTTCTGTTGGGTCCCCCTTTAAACTATATCCAGAATGCAGCTGCATTCTCCACTGTCCCAGGGGCTGGAGGTGCAGGGAGAGGCATGTGCCGTTAGTCTAGCGTGCTGAGTCTCAGTTCTCTTGTCTGCAAGAAGGACGGGCTAGAGCAAGATATTTGGATTCCCATTATTCTTGTGTCCAGATTTTGGAGCTAGGAAGAGCCTGTTTACAAGACACTTAGCTTGTAATTCTTTTTTTTTTTTTTTTTTTTGAGACAGAGTCTTGCTCTGTCGCCCAGGCTGGAGTGCAGTGGCATGATCTCGGCTTACTGCAACCTCTGCCTCCTGGGTTCAGGTGATTCTCCTGCCTCAGCCTCCCAAGTAGCTGGGATTACAGGCAGGCACCACCATGCCGGGCTAATTTTTGTATTTTTAGTAGAGACGGAGTTTCACCATGCTGGCCAGGCTGGTCTCGAACAACTGACCTCATGATCTGCTGGCCTCAGCCTCCCAAAGTGCTGGGATTACAGGCGTGAGCCACCGCGCACGACCTTTTTTTTTTTTTAGGCAGAGTTTTGCTCTTGTTACCCAGGCTGGAGTGCAATGGCGCGATCTCAGCTCACCGCAACCTCCGCCTCCTGGGTTCAAGTGATTCTCCTTTCTCAGCCTCCTAAGTAGCTGGGATTACAGTCATGCACCACAATGCCCGGCTAATTTTGTATTTTTAGTAGAGATGGGGTTTTTCCATGTTTTTATTTATTTGTTTATTTTTTGAGATGGAGTTTCACTCTTGTTGCCTAGGCTGGAATACAATAGCGTGATCTCAGCTCACCGCAACCTCTGCCTCCCGGGTTTAAGCAATTCTCCTGCCTCAGCCTCCCGAGTAGCTGGGATTATAGGCATGTGCCACCACACCGGCTAATTTTGTATTTTTAGTAGAGACAGAGTTTCTCCATGATCAGGCTGGTTTCGAACTACTGACCTCAGGTGATCCACCCGGCTCAGCCTCCCAAAGTGCTGGGATTAGAGGCGTGAGCCACCGCGCCCGGCAAGGCTGTAATTCTAATTCCCTTATGGCCTGGGCAGGACACAGGTGGGTCACAGGAGGAGAGCATGGGTGTTGGAGGCAATGACAGTCTTGACTTTCAACTCCCTGGGTCAGGAGCTCCCTGGGATGGAGGCTGTCTTGTTCACCACTGCATCCCCAGTATCTGCCAGAGCTGACCACAGAGTAGGTGCCCAGGAAACGTGTACTGGAAGAATAAGTGATGAATGA